TATATTATTCTGGGTCATGCATGCTCATTCTTTTTTCTTAAAGAGCAAGTCCAGAGAGTTTACTTCTTGTTTCGCTTTTGTTTTAAAGGGGAGACTTAATTATTTTTTTAAAAATGACTGGAAAAGAGATAGCTCTTTCATTTAAAGAGATATCTCTATAGCTTAGAAAGATATCTCTTTTTGCAAATCTTAAGGGGTATCTCTCTAACTAAGAAAGATAAATCTTTTAACATTGTTAAAGAAATACCTTTCTAACTTTATGAGATATCTCTCGCTCTTAATGATATATCTCTCCAGGGTATAAAGATATACTCCATTCTCAAAGAATATTCATAAGCCCCGCGTTCGATCTCAAAACGAGGCTAAGGTCGGTTGAGATATCTCTTTTGTTTAAAGAGGTATCTCTCTCATGTTTAAATATATCACTATTGGTCAAAGAGATATCTATATAAGCTAAAGAGATATCTCTCTATGCTAGAGAGATGTCTCTCTTATTGAAAGAATTTTTATATTTTACGAATAAATAGTTAAAGGGCTTGTGTGCCTGATTGTGAGACAGCGTGTATGGTTATCTAATAGAATCTCATATTGATATTTCTAAACAGAAATATCGATATTATATTTCCTATAAAGGTAAATGACTACATGAATATGAGAGAACAACTAGATATCCTCATTAGTTTTTAAAAGAAGAACTTTTATTTGTGTTATCTAAAACAGTTCTTGTCTTTAAAAACGAAATCTATCTCAAAGGTTCAATTTACCTGCTTGAGAGGGCAATTGCTAGAATTGTCTTTTCCGCACAGTCTTTACCAGATTTTCTGAAATATCTTCTATAATATACTTCATGCAGCCATCGAAATGGAAATTTTCAGAAAAAAGTCATTCCGGTATGATCAGGGGTGTAGAAAAAATTCCGAATTTTAAGTTTCATAGTCATCATTTTGATATTGCGAGAAAACAAAAAACCCAGCGTAACATCCACTGACACACACATACATACACTTCTCTCCATCCTGTAAAATGACGCTTTATTATGAAATGTAGAGATGACGAACAGTATTTAAAAATCAAAGTCCATTCAAATAATATAAATCAAGAGCAGAACGATTATGGAACTCCAAAAGCATCAGAGGTGTGATCAGGTGCCATGGAGGAGTGAGCCTCCCCTGCCGACCGGTCACACCGGCTGTGTGCTCCTTGTCAATAATGGAGAAATCCGTAGACAATTCCGTATGTACATAATGATACAACATTTTTAAAATGAAAAATATTAAGAAAAATCATTTGTTGTGATATTCTGCAGAAGTTTGTGAGCAACTGTATAACATCATACCATAATTCAGATGAACATAACAGTAAACCATAAAATAAACTCATGGTACAGTGGTTGAACAAGTCCAAAGAAGCCATAATTGAGGAGTAGATTATTTCAAAATCAAATATTTGATAAAGAAAATATAAAACCACAAGAAGGATTCATTTGTAGCCTTAAAATAAACATATTAATAAAATTATTCATTTTGCGTTATTGAGTTTCAAGAATCGTACGTGACAACAAAAATGTTTACGCTATCACCTTGGCGACGTTAAAAAAGCCCTCAGTTTTCCATCATGCATTAGAAACATTATAACATTCACTTCATTTAGTTTTTTTTTCGGGAAACAAACTATTTTTGTTTGCTTATTTGCAGGAATTGATCAGAAGAAAAATCGGGAAAAAAGAATTATGTTAATACTGATTATCTGGAACACCACTTCCAAACAATGATCGGTAAATTCTATGACATCAAATACATGTACAGATGTGGTATATGTTTTGTAAAATCTGTTATTCTTACCTGTCAATACGAACAGAATTATCCGTAGAAACATTGTCAAAGAAATGACAGTAGAATAAGGCGCACATCTAAATTTGACGTTGAATAAATTCGCGCATGCTCCGAGAAATATTAAAAAGTTAAATGGGATCAGAAATCAACACGAAGGCAAGTATTTCTACGTTCCATTATTAAAAGAGTTAATTAAGAAAAAAATCCAGTAGCATTTTCAATAGCTTGATTATAGCATTTTCAACAAGGAACTTTAGGAACTTTACAAAAAAAAGTGAAATTCTTTTATTTCAACTTGGAGTAAATCGGATTGAGTTTGAATGCGTAATTCTTTTTAAAACCTGTTATGTAAAATACGAATTTCTGGCATTTAAAATGGTGCTGAAGAGTTGATGCATTATGCAATTTGTAAAATATTGCAAAGACTTTTTAATGCATAGATTGCTAGCTAAATGTCCAGCAAAAGACTTACAAATGAAAGTGCTAAGTATTATCCATATATAGCCATCTGACCGCATCTCAGAACATTGACTCTGGGTCCAGGGGACTTGAAATTCAATTTTGGTAGATAGTCAAACTCAAATGATCATTGTAACTTAATAGACTATTCTGCATCCAAGATGTCTTTCTAAGGTTTACTTATATGTCTAATGTATTTTCAAATCATACACAATATATGGTTTATTTTCGACCTTTAGCACTTGCAAACAATTTGCCCTGCTTTTAATTCGCCCAGTCAAAATTATATTAAAGAAATTTTACTGATTTTTATATTGTTTCAATTGACTTTTCATCTGGCTTTCTGTTCGATATATTTATATTTTATCCAATTTACCTAAACCTAAATCTACATTAAATCTTTTTTTTAAAAATCAATGAAAAATCATATCATAATAATTATTGATATATAGAAAAAAAAGCAAAACATCATTTGTCATAATATATCGTGTAAAAGAAACAAAACATGACTTTTTATTCAGTTTCAAGAGAGGAAACTATAAATCAAAAAAGAATAAATCATCGAATTAACTTGTTATTTGGATATACTAGTATATAAAAGCTGAAGCTAGAATTTGATGTAAAGAAAATATTATCTATGATAAACTCTATAGATTTAAAAATGCCAAGTCTAAATAAGGCATTTCTGAATACGTCCACTTTATATTTTTTTTTCCTCCTATAAATTAGCCAAACATTGCTGATCGATTGATCAACATATAAATTAGTTAGGTGCTGATTAGAAGCCAACTGCCTATACATAAAAAAGAGTGTCAAATTTAAACTGCCTCTCCCATCAAAGTTGTGCATTGATCGATAATGTTATGCATCAAGTTGTGGATACTGTTCATTGCATGAGTAATTTATACATTATAATTATAGACAATTAATATCTTTTTCATGCGGACAAATTGTTACTGTTATTGCCAAAACTAAAGAACGCTCATTGAGGCCATCTACGTCTTCTTATATACGGTTTGCAGTCGTCCATATTTATATAATCAAAAGGTACAATTTTTTGTCAAGAAATGTCTTTGATGTCAACTTCAGAGTACTTATGTGTGCAATCAGAATGTTTTTAAAAAAGAAATTTTGCAGATGACCAATGACCAGGTAAGTGAATTTACGAGTTCCATATTTATTAAAAATGGAGCTGTCAATGATATCAAAAAGCTTGGACTTCACACGGTGTCGTTTTCACTAATATTTCAAAACATAGAGTGACCATTGTGTACTATGCTTTTTTTATTATCAAATATTTCTTTAAAATGGTGTGAACTAGCCCCATATTGATGCCTATTAAATGTGCTATGGTTTTAAAGTCAACCAAACATCATAAGGAATAATTTGTTGAATTTTGGCAAACAGAACATCGGTTTTTCAAGTCCTTGTCGCTAAGGACGGTTCCCATTTTTCATGTCCATTTTATCATTATTGTTCATTGAAATCTACCTGCTCTTATGTCTATAAAACAGACATTGGTTGCTGTAAATTTTACAAATTTCAGTTAACATTTCTTTGGGATTTTTGCCAAGCTTTACAGTAGCTTAAATGAAGCGTTTAATTTCACTCTAGTTTACTGATTCGTTGCCATTCATTTTTAATGCAGTGTCTGGAATAGCCCTTGTTTTCCACCTTCTCACAATGTAAATATGAGATGAAAGTGGTCACATAAACTGATATCAATTCATTTAAAATTCAATCACGAGAGAAGGTCAAGCTTAATGTCACATATGATATGTGTTGCATGTAATAGTGTTCAGGACATTATTTATTGAACAGCCCTCGTATATCAAAAATCTAGATCAAAAATTCAAAAAGAACCATTGTACTAGATAATAATAAACTTACGCGGAACCTTCCAGAAAGAATATAAATTCTATAGTTTAAATGGAGGATGAGTGGGACCACAATAAGGGATCAAGGTTTTATTTTAAAACAAGAGGCCCATATGGGATTTATAGGTCTCCTGGGCATCATGCATAAATTTTCTAACCATTAAATTTGGTTTATGTTTAAAACCAGGGGCCATGACATTCACAATTTTAAAAGAGCCACCATTGCTCGTCATAACTATACAATAAGCATGCTTAGTTTGGTTACTTAATATCCAAAGGCATAGTTGGGGGATGCATTTCAACTAATCAGTAATATTCAGCAAAAATCAGTAGTGCTCCCATCCCACAGGAACCCCTGACTCTGGAGCGACTCATTTTACAAATTTTGGGAAAGACTCCCTCACTCATCATAAGGAGGAAGCTGCAAGAAAAACCATTGCTCATTTTAGATATATAGGTTAAATTAACCCAGGAAGCAGACAAGAAGATTTTTAAAGGATTCATGCATGTTCACTATATTACATAAAGAGTCTCGCCCTAACACCAGAACCCATGACCCTGGAGCCATGAAATTTAATTTTTTCAAAGGGGCACTCTTGTTCATCACAATTATGCCTGTAGTAATTCTGCTTAATACAAAGGATCAGAGAAGACTTTCAAAGTATTCGTGTATTTTCACCATATAATTAATAAAACCCTGCCCTAACTCTAGAACCTCTGACCCTGGAGTCATAAAATTCACAATTTCAGGAGAAGCACCTTTGTTCATCATAACTACGCATGTAGTAAGTTTGTTGAATACCCAGGAGCAGAGAAGGTTTTCAAAGAAGTAATGCGTACTCCTTTTTGGGCACCTGATCAAACCTCTGGAATTTTCGAGGTTGTGTTCAGAAGTTTGTATTCTTTATATCTTTTAAGATTTTTATTAAGGTCATTGTTTGCTATATTCACCTTTTATTACATTTTAATAGCAAAAACATACAAGTTAGTTTATAATCACTTCCTGTTATTGGAGGTATATATTTATTGTAGACAGTCAGATGAAACTATAGAAATGAAAACTATTTGATTTTTTTTTCAGGAATGAACTTGGAGAAAACCATTATTGGAATTATATCCATTTCAGGTATCGTTGTTTCGCGGCAATTGTATGATACCAATTTTAAAATATTTTGAATTATTAACTCACAAATATTTATATGTGTAAAAAATAAATTATCGATTTTAAACGCTTCTCAGATTTATATTTTCAAAAAAAGATTCATATCAAAATAAATACTTTACGAGCTCCTTGAGAAAATTCACCAGAAATTGTCCCGTCTGTCAATATCATAAAAATCCATCTGAAATTGTAAAAAAGAAAAAGAAAAAGAAATCGCATTAATTCGTTCTGAAAATTGTGGAAACAGACTTCCTGTTGAATGAATCTGGAGAAATGTCCGTCAATCATTTTAGTATTATATTAATATCCCCACCATTTATCCTGAGTTATGCTAGCTGGAAGAGCAATTCTTTAAGCGAAATTTTTTTTCACTGTGCTATTTAGAATGCTCTGATTTTCCTGGTTGTTTTTCTCTGGTTTCGCATAACTTAAAAAAAGGTCAGCAAAGAAGTATTTAAAAAATAAACGGTAACATTTTTGTTTAATTTTTTATTTGGATTAAATTGTATAAATCATTAGTGCCAGGCCACTTAAAAAATGTTTGATTGCCCTCCCATGACAGATTGTCTCACAATGACCCGACTCAAAATATTCTACATGTACGAAAGCAATTCTTTTATATTTCATTAAATTTTGAAAGTACGAATAAAATGTATAAAATGTATTATTCATCACGACTTTTTATTGCATTAAAGTTGTACAATTTATAAAATGGTAAAGATAGTAAAAGTTTACTTGGCAGATATTATTTTCACCGCAATCGGCGCAAGTTACTAGTATCACATAAGTAAGATTACAGTTAATGCAAGGCATTGATGTTTAAACTGTAAGTTCGCTTCCAGTTTCGAAGTGTTTAGATCCTTTTGTCAGGTACATGAATAAATATAAATCAATTTTTAAAAGTTGGCATGTTTCCCATATAATCAAAAACTTATTTCATGTTTGTTCTTGAAGTATGCATCATATTTCCCAAAGCCATAACCCTAAGGAAACTTAAATATAATGAATATTTATTTTGATAGCCATCAAGTGTATGATACTCAATCCATCTCCTTTTGCAAATATAAGATATGGTGGACAGTTGGTGCTGACATGTGAAGCTGATAATGAATGGGATTCCATTTCTTGGAGGAGAGCAAGTGATGTGTCATATACATTTGTTTTTCGTAAAGCCGACTGTGAAACAAAAGACAATGGCGAAGGAAAACGTGCAATTTGTAGCAAATCTCTTAATAAAACAACAATAATATTTTATGATACAACGCCAAAAAATAATGACACCTGGGAATGTCTTGCAGCCTATCCTGGAAATGGGTTTGAAAGTGAAAGAACAAAAGTTTTCATTAGTGGTAATTATTTTAAGCTCTCTTCAAAAACTCTACTCACAAGTTGTTTTGAAAATTATTGATATAAAGATTAACATTATTTTTTACATGTATATCCCCTAAAGAAACATTAGAACTCTTTTGTTGAAAACTGTCAAAGTTATCAGAAGTATAGAGTTCTTAATATTATTTTTAATCAATGACATTCATACTAAACCATATTTTCAATTGAATTCTTTATCTTTTCAGACCCATCTATAGATATATCAAATGAAACAGAAGTACTCTACGGAGAGGAAGCTGACATACTGTGTACCCTTGATCCTGGTTGGAGCAGGTGCACATGGAGATCTGTACAAAATGATGAAGAAATATTTTCAATAATATCATGTAGAAATATGACAGCCACAAATTACTCCCTTAATTGTGATATTAACAATGTAACTCTACATGTAGTCACTCCCATTCACCAGGAAGTATTCGAATGTGCAGGATATTACTTTATAGGTGAAGAAACGCATTCACCAAAAGGAAGAACCATGATATTTATATATGCAAGTAAGAAATGTCGAATAGCATTTAAATTGTCCTTGCTTCTTAATTCTTAATATATTCATAGAAATAATTGCATAAAGGTGATATAGCTCAGTTAGTACATATATGTAATCAATGAAACATCTTTTCTTCCTTAAAATTTTTTGTAAAATTTTATTGTATACTAGAATTTTTGTCATAAACTTATGAATGGAAACCGGGAGTGATGAATATGTCAATAAAATAATACTTTCAGTGCCTCCACGTGTTCACATTTTACCTTCAACTGATCCTACCGAGTTCTTCAGCTTCAAATTACTTTGTACTGCCATAGGTCATCCTATCCCAACTGTTGTTTGGAAATACGAAAATGTAGAATTAAGCCGTTCAGTGGGTGAAAACGCTATTGTTTTTACAAAGCTCAATAGAACAGACAGTGGAAACTACTCATGCGAAGGGATTTCCTCACATCTAGGAACTACGTTGAAAAATACTACACATTATATCCTCACAGTTCAGTGTAAGAATTAGCATCAATAACATACGAATTGTATTATGTCAAGAATAAATTAAACATCAACACGAGCTTAAAAAAGGGGGTAATATTTGTAAGTTAAAAGTGTATCTCATAAATGCTTATGATCAAGATCATATCTTAATATGAATAGGAAGACTGTGAAATATATATATATAATAATTATATTAATTTTGTGTTTGGAGAAAAGCATGGATGAAATTGAAAGACTCAGTAGAGCTGTCAGTGGTACTACTGTTTATACGCCCCGTTTGATATTTTTTCACAAATATAGAAACCAGTGGAGGGTTATAACTTTAGACAAACTTGAAAGAAATATAGCATTGAACGGTTTTTCGTGCCAATGCATTCATAGACATGGAACCTTGGGTTTTAAGGTCTTATCCGAAAGATTAGACTAGAATTTCTTTTACAGTGCCGAATGCTTGTCGAAGGAACTACATTGTAACCGTGCCGTAGATAAGCATTTGTTAGGTTTTTACTTTTAGTCTGAGTTTAGGTCTTCGCATATGATATTCACTTTCCATTGATAATATGTTTTAAGGACAATTTTAAAAGTTTGTTTTAATTGATTGTATAGTGTCCCTCTTACTTTTTTAGATCCACCAATTGCTCGGATCAACGACTTGGTTGTAAGTTGTGGTGATAATGTTTCAATAGGGTGCTTAGTCGATGAAGGCATACCAACGGATTATACTTTGCTCAAATGGGAACACAGATTCAATGGAACTTTTATTCAGAAACTCAACGTCAGCAACAGGCAATTCTTTATCAGTCACGTAAGACTTCATTCAATTCACCAATTCTCACACAACAATCCCACACACACACACACACACCCACACACCCACACACCCACCCACACACACCCACACACCCACACACACACGCACACGCACACACACACACACACACACACACACTTTTCCCTTCTGTCTCTCTCTCTCTCTCTCTCTCGTAATAAAAAATCTACAATGCATTTAATACAAGCTTTAATATCAGATGACTCTCAGCGATATAGGTGAATACGTCTGTGTTGTATCCAATGGAGTGATGGATATCAATAGAAATATGTTCATTGAGGGCAGTGGAAACCTTCAGGCTAGTAGCTGTATGTTATTTATTCTCAAAATTTATTAAGCGAAATATACCATGCTTTAATTAAATGTTTGAATGTATATTTTAATTAGTTATGTATATTTGATTTATAGTGTTAAAACGAGAATGTTGAGTAACATTGTTCCATTCGAATAAAACATATATGAAGTTACTCTTTTCTGTCTATACAGGCTCACCAACAATTATTAATATTGAAGAGAGTTTACTTCAGGGAATACTTACTTTGAAATTGAAAGTTATAAGCATTCCACCGGTAAAGGAAGTGCATCTTCTTCACAAAAGCAATAATGCAACGTTGAGCATAAAAAACAGAAACTACATATGAATTTGCAGATATCGAACACTACATTCATAATGTATCAGTAGCATATCCTGGGCAAATAATTAGCGTGGAAACAAAAGAAGTTCTCAATAAAAACGACACATACACCGTATTCCTCAGTAACCATGAAACGGCCGCTACAAACATAAGCATATATATTTCACTCAAAGGTAAGTGTTCGTCTGAACTGGCAAACCAAATTTACATTGACATAAACAAGGAGAAATGCATGATTTATTTTTGATAATTTTTCTTTTGTATCAGAGGAGTACCAAAACAAGACTTGGGAAAAGGCAGAGAATGAATCCGGTAGTGATGTTGTTATTATAATTATAAGCTCCATCTCTGTGGTTGTATTTTTCGTAATAATCGGCTGCATTATTTGGATGCGAAAACGGAAAAATTTAAAGCTAGGTACATTAATTTTTTTGTTTAATGTCTTTCAGATCAATACTATTTGATAGAATTTTTAGCGAGGATTTTGACATTATTAGCGAGGGTGCCGGGATCGCTAAAATTGAATATCGCTAAAATTAAATAACCTGTTTCTAAGGATAAATAACTAAATTTTCGTCTCAGTAAAGTTTCCACTTATACTGTATATGATAGCTATCTAAAGCTCTTTTTTTTTCAGAAATAAAGACTTAAATCAGTTTAAAACATTTAAGTATTTTTCTTGTTAGTAATCATTCTGAATCATCATTATCAAAAAAAAAACAAAAAAAAAAAACATAAGCATCTCTGTTTGCAATCGCAAAAGCAAGGAGACATTTGTCTGTCCGTCTGTCCCAAAAAACTTAAACTTGGTCTTAACTATTGACAGAGAAGAAATGGTTTCCTGTGACAAAATATTTCCAAATAAGCTATGATTTTTGACCCTTTGACCTCGATATTGAAGTTTGACCTATTTTTCAAAAAAATCTAACTTCTGAAAGAGAAATGACAGAGCTTTTGTGTTACACATGCATGTCACATGTGACAAGGCCTTTCTAAATATGCTTTTTATTTTTAAACCTTGAACATAAAGTTTTATCTTATTCTTAAAATGTTTTTTGTCATTATAACTTTTGATTAAGAAGAGATAGCTTTTTCATGTTTGACATGTGCATTACCTGTTACATGATGTGCCGAGCATGCTATGATTTTTACCATTTGACACTGTCTTTCATGTTTGACCTAACTAAAAACAAGCTTTGGTAATTACTTTTAAATAACATATGAAAGGGCGTTCATATTGGACACAATATGACATAAATAATGGCAATTTACCCACTAAGACACCGAAAGCGGGCGACCACAATTCTCTGCTTACAGTGCTAAGCCATTAAATACCATGTGAAAAATGGAATTTGTTTCAAATTACTGACCGTTTTTCACTATTGACTGAAAACTAGTAAGCATTGGATGAATTAAAAAGAAGTATCGAAAAAAAATTTATTTGAGATTTGCTAAACTTTCTTTTTCGCTGTCGGGGGGACATTCGTTTGCCTTTCATAACTAATACTACATACAAAGTTTTGAAACATTCCATAATATTTTAATTAAATAAATATGCCTTTACAGCCAAATAGTTTTTTAGGTCACCTGAGTAACTCAGGTGACCTATTGCTATCCGTTTTCGTCCGTCGTCGTGTGTAGTGCGCCGTGTGTTGTGTGTTAACATTTGAACATTTTCAGCTTCTTCTCTGAAACTACTGAACCAATTTCAACCAAATTGTGTATACAGCATCTATGGATGATGGGGAACGAAAATTTTGAATTTTATTGTCCCCTCCCCCCTGGGGCCTGAGGGGTGGGGCAAAAACCACTAAAATTAATGAAATCTTTAAAAAATCTTCTTCTTTTCTCCTGGACATCAAGCAGGCAAACTGTTAGCATGAATTTAATGTAATGAGCATTGAGTCCTCTACCAAAATTGTGAAATTCATATCCCCAGCGTCAGGGGTTCTAGTGCTAGGGCAGGGCTATATAGAATATATAGTGAAAATGCATAATTTCTTTGAAAATCTTCTTCTCTGCTTCTGGGTATTAAATAAACCAAGTAAGCACATAGTTATGATGAGCAAGAGTGCCTCTTCCAAAATTGTGAATTTTATGGCCCCAGGGTCAGGGGTTCTGGTGTTAGGGCAGGGCTCTATTGATTATATAGTGAGAAAATACATGAATTCTTTGAAAATCTTCTTCTTTGCTTTTGGGTATTAAATAAACCAACTAAGCACATAGTTATGATGAGCAAGAGTGCCTCTTCCTAAATTGTGAATTTTATGGCCCCAGGGTCAGGGGTTCTGGTGTTAGGGCAGGGCTCTATTGATTATGTAGTGAAAATACATTAATTCTTTGAAAATCTTTTCCTTTGTTCCTGGGTTTTATGCCAATGATCCAAGTATATATATTTATAATGAAGAAAGGTGCATCTAGCAAAATGGTTATTTTTTTATGCCCCCATAGTCTGAAAATAAATTAATGCTTTGAAATCTGCTCTTTCGTATTAATTAACCATTTTATGATAAAATTTGCAAAATTTTGAAATATGTAGCCCAAGGGACAGTGGTTCCTTTGGGGTGTGGTGCACAACTGGTTATAAAGTGGAAGTGCATTTTCTCTTTGTTACTCTGATCTACCTCTGGGTATTAAGTAAATAGAGAAAGCATGCTTAGTTTATAGTTATGATAAGCAATGGTGCCTCTTTCAAAACTGTGAATTGTGAATTTCATGATCTCTGGTTTAAAACACGAACCAAATTTAATTGTTTGCAAGTTGTTACGCAATACTCAGGTAACCTATAAGGCCCCTGGGCCTCTTGTTATAACTTCAGAGTTGAATAGTAACTATAATCTTCTCAAAGCAAGTGCGTTCAAGTAATACTTAGTATTATTTTTTTATATGAGAAAGGTTTTGTTTCTGATTTAATGTTTGTGAAAATCACCACTTTTTAAATAGCACAAACACTTATTTTAAAACCCAATATAATAATATTTCTAGGTAAATCAATCAGTAAGTCGACTAAACAAATATTGTTGGATAAAGAGGGATATGTCACACCAGGAAAGATTGATGAGAGAACATATACCAAACCAGGAGGGATTGATAACAAAGGTGATACATGTACTTAATCTGAACTTATATTTTTCTTATGTTATAAAGTAACATAAATTTTCCAACCTTTGTTTTGAAAAACCATTCTCTTTTAACAGGCGCAGAAGAAACTGTCATCGGAACAAACACAACACCAGGGTAAACATACGAATGATATTTACGGAATTTTTAAACTTTGAAATTTATTTCTTTTAGATAATGGTTATTATCCCAAAGGAATGTCTAATACAGGTAAACGCCGTTATCTCGACATCGACGGGACAATCAGCAAATGTCGAGATATCCGAGGTGTCGGGATATCAGAGTTTAGACTTGACGTCCTTAATTTTACTGGATAGTAAAACCAAAGACCTAAACTGAACAGACGTGTAACTACCTACGAGGGGTGATCAAAAAGTTCGCAAACAAATTGAATAACTTCCATACAAGAAGAAATATTTGGTTTTAATGTTGATTATATTTTAAAATAATCCTCCCCGATTTTAATGCACATCAACCACCGTTCTGCGCATGCGCGAATCACGTGATATTGGCGGTCACGTGACCCCCTCCGTAGCGTTCTGTCACAAAAGTTAAAAGATTTTTCCGAGTTTTATATTTCTTTCCATGTGAGTTAATTTTTATGACAAGAACAGTTAATTTGTCAGAAATGGTCATATCTCGGCAACAGAATCGGTGGATAATAACATCCTTTCCAAAAATAAGCATGTCGACCATTAAAACACAAATCTTCTGTCTCAGGAGAGACCTTTATTCAAAGTGGATAGAGAATGGGTGCATCCTTTTTATCATATCTAATATGTTTAAAATCTAAAGTAAACGATATCTTAGGTATTTTATACTTATATCACTGTTCAAATATTCAACTATTTTTCAAAGTGCTAATTGGAGGTCTTTGATAGTAAATTGCTTAATTAAAAATACATATCTTTTCAAACTTGCTTTCACTGGGCAAGATGACAAGTATCATTTTTAACAATCAGCCTTCCTTCACTAAAACGATTAATCCAATCATTAATTGAATTATAGGAACTCATTTATCTCAATAAACTGTGTACAAATTATTATATGATACTGTAGAGGGATTTCTAAGATATTACAATAAATTGTACAGTCAGTCGTTTGGGGAACGAGTTCGACTGAGACAACCATTTTTTGTCACAAGTGACCTAAATAGTGACGTCATTTTCACATTGTGACGTCACAAACAAGGAGAGAAACTTTATTCAGCATATGCTAGTTATAGACCTTGTGTATGGCTATGTGTGTACCGAATTTCATTCTAATCTGAATTGTGGTTTTGTAGATATAGAGATAGTTTGCGAACTTTTTGATCACCCCTCGTACATGTCTTCAGTATAGACTGTAGCTCGTTTGTTCCAGCTATCCCTCTATATTTATTAGAAAATCTAAGAAGTTATTCATAAATGTAATTTATGAAATGCTTTCTTTTTTATCGAAATCTTCTCATTTTGTAAAAATCAGTTTTCCATCCAGCATTCGATCCGCGTGCAACTAGCTCTGTCAGAACAGGATACGAAATGCGCTATGTAAACTCCAAACCAAAACGGTACAAATCGACTTCCGTGATACAGAAAAAAAAAATAATGCGCAATTTTTTTTTCTTAACTATTTCATTTCACTTCATTTTTATTTCAGAACCATTCATCATTACTTTTCATTTCATTTTCAAACCAAAATTTAATTGGAATTGCGCATTAAACAAACTTGATGTTACACATGCATTTATATAACTGCTGATGCAATAGTCGTATGTGTGCCTTTTGTAGATTTCATTTTTTCCTGTTGAATGTATTTTTACCATATTTTTAAAGTTAAATTGAATTCAATGTGTATATTGTTCATTGTTAATCTGTTACTTTTTTCACAAAATGTTCAAAAGTTTTGTTAAATTTCGACAAACACATTTCTACAGAAGTAGTCTGTAGTCAAAACATGGGTGTGAAAGGTGTGAATTTCTGACGACGTCGAGATACACGGATTGAGCTGTTGCAGAAAATATACATAACCCGCGTAAGGAGGTTATGTAATTTTTTTCTGCAATAGCTGTGACCGTTAATTCCAGTAATAACAAACAAAGAAAGACATTTTATTGTTTATATTTTATCTGTGAAAATAATCATTTAAAGTAGGATTAAAAAGATTAATTATTGTATTAATGATGCGTACAGATTTATTTAATTCGTTATAACGAATTTAATTTGTTATAACAGATTCATTGAATTTGTTATAACGAATTTAATTTGTTATAACAGATTCATTGAATTTGTTATAACGAATTTAATGTGTTATTACAGATTTATTGAATTCGTTGTAACGAATTTAATCTGTTATTACAGATTTGTTGAATTCGTTATAACGAATTTAATCTGTTATTACAGATTTGTTGAATTCGATAGAACCAAATTCTTTAATTGGTTATAACGAATTCAATAAATCTGTAATAACAGATTAAATTCGTTATAACGAATTCAATAAATCTGTGATAACAAATTAAATTCGTTATAACGAATTCAATGAATCTGTAATAACTAATTAAATTAGTTATAACGAATTCAATGAATCTGTAATAACTAATTAAATTCGTTATAACGATTTCAATGAATCTGTTATAACAAATTAAATTCGTTATAACGAATTCAATAAATCTGTTATAACAAATTCAATAAATCTGTTATAACAAATCAAATTCGTTATAACGAATTCTAAAAATCGTTATAACGAATTCAAAAATATTTTTTGATAGGTCCTAAATGGGCTTTCGTACGAACGTCTTTATACGTTTCATTGATGGAACAGCCACTGATCAAAAAATCTGCTCAGGTGACATGCCTAATGTAGTTCATGCAGTGATTAACGCAATGGGTTTTCTTAAGAAATAAAGGAGAAAATATTCAGTGGATGTAAATATAATGATTGTAAAGCGCTTTAAGTAGCATTTATGCTAGAAAGGCGCTATGTAAATGCAATCATTACTATTATTTCATTAATTATAGGTTAAGTAGAGCAGAAAATTGCCTCGATGTCGACATAAACCAGGTAAATTTTGCTCTTGGGACTGTGAATATACGTCGAGATAAGTGGGGTAGTCGACATTACCGAGGTCGACATATCAGAGTTTTTGCAAATCATTTATATAGTAAATAATGCCGGGACGGTGGACAGACGTCGACATATCCCAGGTTGTCAACATATCCGATGTCGAGATACCGAAGTTTACCTGTATGTATATTACATTTTAAATCAAGAGAAAGCCGCATCAGTGTTTTGAACGTCATATGCAACAATATGACGAATGCCAAGTGAAAAATGTTATTTCTGTATTCATAAAAAGCCTTCATTGTAAAAGATTTTTGTATTTCTAACAATCATAAAGTGCAATTAATAGAGAGAGCACTGGCCAAGAAAATTCCACAGAAAAGGGGGACAGTAGGAAGGATTACTTAACTGTGGTTCCTGCAGCACGTACAGACCCCACTGTTCAAATGCAAATAACTGGTCGTTCTGAGGTGAATGAACAATCAGATCATTACGACAAAATCAAAGAAGATGCTGAAAACAACGATGGTTGCACAACAATCGAAGGTAGGAAAAAAGGTGTATGTATGTATTTGATAAGAAAGCTTCCTTCTAGTGATCTGAATATGATTTACCTTTATCGGTATTTCTTACCAAAACAAAATTTCCACTTAAGCCCTTCTTACAAACATCCAGGAAACACACATTTTATCAACTTGAATCAACGTTTTTGTTGATCACGGTTGTGATCTGGACAAATTTGAACCCATAATTTATAAAGTTGCTTTAATACATTTTTAGCTCACCTGAGCCAAAGGCACAAGTGAGCTTTTCTGATCAAAATTTGTCCGTTGTCTGTCGTCGTTGTCGTTGTCCTTGTTGTCGTCGTAAACTTTTCATATTTTCATCTTCTTCTCAAGAACCACTGGGCCAATTTCAACCAAACTTGGCACAAAGTATCCTTAAGTAAGGGGAATTCAAGTTTGTTCAAATGAAGGGCCACGCCCTTTTCGAAGGGGAGATAATTATGAATAAGAGAAAAATTAATGGCATTTTAAAAAAAATCTTCTTCTCAAGAACCACTGGACCAGGAAAGATGAATCTAATGTGGAATCATCCTGAGGTAGTGAAGATTCAAGTTTGTTCAAATCATGATCCCCGGGGCTAGGGTGGGGCCGAAATGGCCGATCAAAGTTTTACATAGGAATATATAGGAAAAATCTTTAAAAGTCTTCTTCTCAAGAACCATTGAGACAGGAAAGGTGAAACTCATGTGAAATTATCCTCAGGTAGTGTTGATTCAAGTTTGTTCAAATCATGACCCCGGGGCCCGGGGCTAGGGTGGGGCCATAATGGACAATCAAAGTTTTGCATAGAAACATATAGGAAAATCTTTAAAAATTTTCTTCTCAAGAACCACCGGGCCAGGAAAGATGAAACTAATGTGAAATCATCCTCAGGTATTGTAGTTTCAAATTTGTTCAAATCATGACCCCCGGGGGTAGGTGGGGCCAAAATGGCCGATCAAAGTTTTACATAGGAATATATAGGAAAAATCTTTAAAAATCTTCTTCTCAAGAACCACCGGGCCAGGAAAAATGAAACTCATGTAGAATCATCCTGAGGTAGTGAAGATTCAAGTTTGTTCAAATTATGACCCTCAGGGATAAGGTGAGGCCGAAATGGCCGATCAAAGTTTTACATAGGAATATATAGGAAAAATCTTTAAAAATCTTCTTCTCAAGAACCATTGAGACAGGAAAGATGAAACTCATGTGAAATTACCCTCAGGTAGTGTAGATTCAAATTTGTACAAATCATGACCCCTGGGGGTAGGGTGGGGACGAAATGGTTGATCAAAGTTTTTCATAGGAATAATTAGGGAAATCTTTAAAAATCTTCATTTCAAGAACATCAAAGCCATGATTAGTGATATTTACGAGGGATGATCCAAAAGTAATTTCACAGTGTCCATATCTTTTATATTTGTCGTCATATTATCAAATACAATATACCAAAAGATGCACAAATATAAATCTAGTAAACATTGAAAATTTAATTTAATAATGTTCATTTAAATTTATTTTATAAATGTTTAAATCATAGAGCATAGGGGGTGTCGCCGCGTCACAATTGAACGTCACGTTTAAAGTGTATTTTATCTTAGAATGAAAAAGATAAACACATTAAAAAGATTCTAAAAAAGCACCTAACCTCCAATTTTTTTTAAAGACACAATTCTCGTGATTTTCTAGTTTTTAATTGAAAATTAAATGACGTCATTGGTATTTGTGATCATAAACATTGTTGTTTTACTCCGTTGAATTGAACAAAGGAATTGTCGAAATGGGGAAAACGCATGACGAGTTGAAATGCATTTTTGCTTCAAAATATGGGAATCATCACTAGGGACATTTTCGTTAATCAATCAGACTTACAGAATAAAGAGTGTAAATAAGAGACATCTTAAAAGATGGTTTCAGCAATTTTGGGCGGTAGATTGGTTATAGAATGACTAGCAAAGGACAAGAAGACCGAAAGATAGGAGATCGGACGGAAACGTTCAATGGTGTCTGACGTTGTCAAAAAAAGACAGACGTATAGAGCGACATGTGAATTTTTAAGTTTGTCTGATGCTACTGTAACCAAGCGGGAATGGAAAACGCAGGTTCAGTTTAATAAATTTATTTGGAAATGAAAAAGCAATGGCAGATCTACAAATACAAAAACATATATACAATATCATAATACACATAGACACTGAGACAAAATACTTTTATTTCCTATTCACTTCAAAAATAAGAAAATTTAAGTTTACTAAGCCCAAAAACGTCAATTTCATAGTTTAAAATACCTTTCTCTCAAAAATATGAAAAACACTTGAGCTTATAACTTGGACTTAATAAATAAAATGCAAAAATTTAATAGACTAAGAAAATTACCTTTCAAGTGGTGACAACGGGCAGCTGGTAATATGTAAGTTAAATTTCCCGCACTGACAGGGATGGGCCCATGCCTCAGTATATATAGCAGAAAAACCGGTTAAACAAGGGGTACAAATTTACTGGCCAATGAGATTTTGTGAGTAGAATTCATGAATGGAGACTACTATCAAATATGGCATATAGTAAATTATGGCTCACTAAGTTATTCAATAAAGATATAAAAAATTATTTTAAATAAATATGACTCCGCCACATACTCCCCAGCTTTAGATTTAGCGTCTCGATAAATGAAAAATATATATTCTATCAAAATACATTTTTCAATAATAGCCACATACTCTCCAGAAAAATATACATATGAACATCAAAAGTAACAAAAAGTTTTTGCATAAGTAATAGCGTTATTTAGGAAACACATCTCGTCACATCACGGCGGTTTAAGGTTTTCTGGCAGCCATCGTCTGACACGACACTAACGACATTTCCTGAAATATTCACAACACGATACACAGTAGAGTCCCATGAATCTTGGATTTTGTTTCTGCCGCGGATTTGACGATTTCGAACGTACACTTTGTCATCAGTATTCAATTCCGGGTCAAAGGCTTTTCTGTCGTTGGTCGACTTCCTGTTTTTGGCCATCAGAGACGTATGATCACTTGCTTTGTCGAACGCATACTTTAGTCGGTCCTGGTGAGATTTGATCCATTCGTCAGTCGTCATTTGATCATCATCGTCACTGTCCAAAGCTCCAAGTAGAAAATCGATGGGTATCTTGGGATGACGTCCAAACATAAGATAAAACGGACTGTATCCGGTTGTTGAATTCTGTGTTGCGTTGTAGGAAAATAGTAATTCGGGCAGATGTTTTGGCCAATGTCGCTTTCGGTCAGGTGTAAGACTCTTCAATAAGTTGTGTAGGGTTCTATTAAATCTTTCGCACTGGGCGTTTCCTTCTGGGTGGTAAGGTGTGGTTCGAGATCGTGTAATTCCATACATCCTACACAGTTGAGTAATGGTATTTGCTTCAAAATTTCGGCCTTGATCCGAATGAATACGATCGGGAACACCATACTTGAAAAACCATTCGTTTAAAAGAACATTCGCAACGGTATCTGCTTTCTGGTCCTTTGTTGGAACAGCTTGCGTAAATTTTGTAAAGACATCAGTCATCACAAGAACGTTTTCTTTTCCATGCGCTGGTTCCAAAACAGTAAAATCGATTGCTAGAATTTGCAGAGGTCTAGATGCGATGAGATGGCTCATTGTAGTGCGTATAGCTGGTTGAGGCATCTTGGAAATTACACAACGTTCACAACGCTTACAATAATCCTTCACAGAATTGAATATTCCAGGCCAACAACATCTTGAACGAACAGCAGAAAATGTGCGCTCTATCCCTTGATGGCCCAAGTTGTCATGACAACTGAATAACACATTTTCACGTAATGATCTTGGAAGAATAAGTTGTTTTAAATCTCCTAATGTAGGATCTGTTACCACTCTGTAAAGAATTCCTTTCACAACTACAATTTTATCCCACTGTCTTACTAATGTAATCACAGATCTTGGTAATTTTCTGATTTCTGTTTTCGTTGGTTTAGATCCTTTATTGAAAATCTTCAGAAATGTTGCCAAGTTTGAATCAGCTGACTGAAGAGACTGTATTTCTGGTTTCAGAGATGGAAAAGTGTCGTAAACTTCATTCACAATTACACTTGAGGTACTTTGTTTCTGTAGATCCGAGGGTAGTTTCGTAGAATCGGAGAACTTCTCTAGTAGAATCTTTAAATCACTTTGCCGCGATGAATCATCAGGATCACTGATACGTGAAAGAGCATCTGCGTTTTCGTTATGGCGGCCTGGTCGGAATTTCACATCAAAGTTAAACATAGCCAACTTTGAAATCCAGCGTTGTTCAATTGCACTGAGTTTTGATGTGTTAAGATGACACAACGGGTTGTTATCAGTGAACACTGTGAATTTTGATCCCAATAAGTAATCTTTGAATTTTTCTGTTATTGCCCAGGTTAATGATAGTAATTCCAGTTTTCGAGAACTATAATTTTGCATGTTCCTTTCACTTGGTCTCAAGGATCTGCTAGCATAGGCGATGACATGTTGTTTTCCGTCTTTGATTTGCGATAGAATGGCTCCTAATCCTAACATACTAGCGTCTGTTTCAAGAATAAACGGCTTTTGGAAATCTGCATAAGCTAAGATAGGAGAACTCACAAGAAGCTTTTTCAATGCTGTAAACGCATCGTCACACTGAGAATTCCATTTATTTCCAAACGGTTTCCTTGGATAAGGTGTAAACTGCTGGGACAACTTGTGTAATGGCGATGCTATATTACTAAATCCTTTCACAAAACGTCTATAGTACCCCGCTAATCCAAGAAATGACTTAAGTTTTTTCACAGTTGTCGGTTTTTCAAAATTTTGTACAGCACTTATTTTTTCTGGGTCAGTTTTGATTCCCTCGGAGGATATGACATGTCCGAGATAACGAACTTCACTTTGAAAAAAATTGCACTTTGACATTTTCAACTTTAATCCATGTTTCCGGATGATTCTAAACACTGTCTCTAATCGCTTCAAATGTTCTGGAATGTCTTCTGAATAAACGATAATCTCATCCACAAACACAAGTAAAATGCTAAATATCTCCTCCCTGAAGCAGTGTTGCATTAACCTCTGAAACGTCGCAGGGGCGTTGCACAAACCAAACGGCATACGAAGATATTCATACAGACCCATTGGCGTTGTGAATGCCGTTTTTTCGATATCATCTTCATGGACAGCTACTTGGTTATAGCCACAGGTAAGATCCATTGTCGAGAAAAATTTTGCACCGCATAGAGCATCAAATGATTCTTCTACTCTGGGTAGTGGATAGGCATCTTTGTGAGTTTTGCTGTTAAGTTTACGGTAGTCCACACATAAGCGGAGCGAATTATCTTTCTTTCTGACTAACACAATCGGTGATGCGTATGGACTAGTACTCTCCCTTATAATATTGTTGTTCAACAATTTACGAATATGTGATTTCACTTCCTCATATTGTGATGGGGGTATTCGTCTGTAAGGTTGCACTATAGGCTGATCGTCTGTTGTCCGAATAGTATGTTTTATGGCTGTAGTATATCCTATGTCGTCATCATTTTGAGAGAATACATCTTGATTTCGGTAGAAAAGAGTGCGAATTACTTTCATCTGTGCAGGATCTAAATTCAACTTTTCTATTTCCGGTGGAATTTTGAAATCACTTGTCACTTCCTCTGAATTTGTGGTTTCACTGCACATAAATTCTTGTTGAACAAAAATCTCTTCAGTATTTCCTTTTCTAGTGAATTCGATGTTAGATGAATTTTCAAGTACATCGCCATTGACAAGGACGGCAACTCTTGTTCTGGGTGCTAACCACACATCGTCAGTACCAATATTTGCGATACGAAAGCACAGAAATCCACGGTTCACTTTACTAAGAGTCCGGACAACGATAATGTTTGATGACAAATGCTGAGTAGATGTTAACGGTTCTACCATGGCCTCATACAGTCTTGGCATCTTTGGTGCTGTACCATTGATAACAGTAACAGATTTTCCCGGAATGCGTACTGGAGACTTTGCACAGACTTTAACATATCCTATGACATCACGTTTAAGATTTCTGTCACATGCTTTGAATTAAATTGTTCTTTTAATTTGTAATTTGCTGAAATTTCTTCAACTTTTTCTGTGTACTCTGCTCCGTGTTGCGTTTCTAATAGACTCTTACACAGTGAAATCGTGTTCATTCCCAGAATGGCCGGAATGTTTTCCTTACGCTGACGTGTTTCTAAATCAACGGAATTTTTCACAACTAACACACCCACTTGCTGTAACTGTTGACCCATGACCTCAATGTTGACCTCGATGTATCCAATAAACGGTATGGAAAGTCCGTTAGATGCTTTCAAAGAAAACACAATGTCTGTATTTAATTTCGTTGCTGACTTCAGATGTTTCTTATAAAATGATTCTGTCACTGTAGAAACTGATGATCCAGTATCAACTAAACAATTAACACTAACACCATTCATTGTCACAAATACTGAAGGACATTTACCAACTAAACGTGTGTTCATTTTCCATGAGTCCGTTTCACTCCCCTCTATAACGGGACTCGGCATTACGAAGGGCTTTTGTTTTCCTGTTCAGAATTTGTAGAATCCAGTTTTGTTGGGCATTCATTAGCTTTGTGTCCCTGCTTTTTGCATCGGTAACATGTAAGCATGGTAAGTGGTCGATCATAATAATACCAGTTGTTGTCGTAGTATTTTTGTTTGGAATTGACAGCTTTTGTTAAATTTTCTATCTGACACGATTGTTTCTTCAATGCGTCGGTAAGTTCTTTGATTTTCTTTTCACTTTCACTTTCCGTTTGCTTCGTTATTTTTTCTGTCGATACTTCCGTTTTCTTTTCACTCTCGGACTCCCGGTTTTGTTCAATTGATTTCTTCTCCAGTGATTCTTGAAACGAGACTTCGCCATGTCCATCTTCTTCTGACCAGAGTATAGCCTCTTCTCTAAGTTCCCTAAACGTGATATCCGGTTGCGTGCGCAGAATACGTTTTAGATGTTTCCGTAGATACTGGTCTCTGACATTTTCTGAAAAATGTTCACACAATGTTCTATCTTGGTTTCCGAAAACTGACGAGTCTTTCCGAGTAATTCTTCTAATGATATCCATCAGACCGTAAGAATATTGACGCAGTGTTTCAGTTTCATTCTGTTTTCTGTCAAGAAATTTCTTCTGTAATTTAATAGCACTGTCTCTATCACCGAATACATCCCGCAAAATTTTAACCATATGTAGAGGATCTTTTCGTACATCACCTGACAAATACTTGATTTCGTCTCGCGCATTTCCAGATAGATTTTGGTAAATTAGATCCGCCCCTTCTTCTTTTGTCATACCACGTGCTGCATATTGAACATTTTCTATCCAGTCCTCTATATCCATGTTATTGCCGGTGAATTTCGGAACAGTGCGATCTCGCTGCACATATACAGTTTTTGGTTCTTTTGGTTCGTAATTTGTTTTCCAGCCCATTTCATTAAGTTGATTCTGCAGACCTTTGATTTCTTTCTGTAACGACTTTACAGTTGGATGACTCGCCATTGTAACAGCCGAGAATGGTATTCACTATCAGTACGGGTAGTTTACGCTCGAGTAAACGTTCCTTTCCCACGATGTTTCATTGATGTAATGGAATTTGAAGTTCTACTCACGTTGTTGGAATTTTACATGTAATTCTCCGTTGTCACCACTAGCCATTGCTTTAGTTCCCGGCGACGCCAAATGTAACCAAGCGGGAATGGAAAACGCAGGTTCAGTTTAATAAATTTATTTGGAAATGAAAAAGCAATGGCAGATCTACAAATACAAAAACATATATACAATATCATAATACACATAGACACTGAGACAAAATACTTTTATTTCCTATTCACTTCAAAAATAAGAAAATTTAAGTTTACTAAGCCCAAAAACGTCAATTTCATAGTTTAAAATACCTTTCTCTCAAAAATATGAAAAACACTTGAGCTTATAACTTGGACTTAATAAATAAAATGCAAAAATTTAATAGACTAAGAAAATTACCTTTCAAGTGGTGACAACGGGCAGCTGGTAATATGTAAGTTAAATTTCCCGCACTGACAGGGATGGGCCCATGCCTCAGTATATATAGCAGAAAAACCGGTTAAACAAGGGGTACAAATTTACTGGCCAATGAGATTTTGTGAGTAGAATTCATGAATGGAGACTACTATCAAATATGGCATATAGTAAATTATGGCTCACTAAGTTATTCAATAAAGATAAAAAAAATTATTTTAAATAAATATGACTCCGCCACACTACTGTTAAAAAAATTTTGACAGAGGGCTTAATAATGAAAAAAGTGAGTATATAATGGTACCAAGAATTCTTAAAGAAAGTGTAATTGGTAAAAGTGTTCGCGAATAACAAATATCTTTTAATGAAAAGAAGGGGAAACGCTTAAATGTATGACGGTGTGTATCTGTCATATGACGTAACATTTAGGTGCGGCGACTACCATAACCCTGCACTGTTTAAAATTCAATATTTTGAAAAGTATACATCATATTCCTTTGATTTTTTCAGGTCTGATTTGAAATAGATAAAGCTTTCATCATGTGTAATTTTGTTGCTTTACGTCAATTTATAGCGATTTTATCAAAGTTGTGACATTACTTTTGGATCAACCCTCGTATATGGAATCATCCTCAGGTAGTGAAGATTCTAGTTTGTTCAAATCATGACCCCCTGGGGGGAGGGGGTTTAAATTTAAGCCCCCCCTCCAACCTCAGTAAACTTTCAGTTCTGATCTAATATGTGCCTTTTCCTAGCCGGTGTGCTCAGGTGAGCACTGTGGCCCCCGGGCCTCTTGTTGATAAATTAGTTTAGCCCCAGTCACACCAAAGGGAGAAAATTTTCATGCATGCTTATTAATTACCATCGCTGATGTAGGCAAATTAATTTTGTGCAAAAATGAAAATAATTATATGCATAAGATATATTCATTTGTGTAATTTGCAATCAGTTGTTATTTTCGTAAAATCAAGATATTAAATGTTGAAATATTCAAAATAAATATATATGTTTAACATTATTTTAAAAAAAAATCATGTAAGATAAAAGTTTCACTTGTTTAATTGCAGAAAGTATTGCCCATGAGTACACGGGTTTAAGGTAATTTTAAGTGCGTTTTTTTCTGCTGGTGAACAAATAACAAGAGCTAATGATAAACATTCGAAGCTTCTAAGACAAGCTCTGATAAAATACTACATTTTGCAAAAATGAAATTTAAACATACAATCGGAACTGAAAACTCTTATACTATATCCACATTTTATTGTCAGCTATCAGTACATGTAAGAGTTAAATGCACTGGAACTTTCCAAACTTTTTATACATATACTGTAATTCCATGTGTCAGTTTTCTCATCTTCGTTTATTAATTATTTTATTGATAAATTTATTGAATTTTATGGATTATGAAGAAGCTGTTGCAAACGTTGATGTGCATCTATTTTCAAAGTTGTTCCTTTTCTAACAGACATCAGACGTCGGCGCCAAATCCATTGACGAGTCCCATTGCAGGTTCTTTATTTCTAAAATCTTTTTGAATGATTTTCTTTGTTTGATTTTTTTTTAAATATTGTATACTCAAATGTCACCGTATTAAAATAGGAGAGATCAATTTATATCAATTCATTATTATCACGATTCGAATTAAAAAAAACAGGACAGTGAAGTTAATTGGTGAATACATTTAAGTTATAACAAAGATGAATAATTTTAGTGTTATCAGATATTTGCCTAAATATTCTTATAAGAATGTTCTTGAAAATATCTATTTTAAGCACGCATGCTAAGTTAATCACTTTTTTCTCCATTATAGACCAATCAAACAATGCCAACATTTCAGGATTTCCCGCATTAATGTAAATACATGCACTTTTTTTACGAGTATAAGTTTTTTTAAGTAAGTAATGTATTTGTTATATCTTACAAACTAATAGATTACTCATTATTGTTTTTTTTTTCAAAAGTGTTATATAATCAATTTGATTTTAGATGTAATCCTACTAAGTTCTTTGTAGAGATTCTATTGGATTCAAACCAGATTCACCGAAGAATGTGAAGAATGAAGAGGCCATTTCCTCAAGTTAGTATTTATTTATCTTTTACTGTTAATATTTCATATACAATGAATACAATAAATCTGCCTTTTTCCCCGAGAAACTATTATTTCCCACATTTGATGACTACACCATGACAAATCAGAGCTTCTCCCTGGAACTACCCCTTTATAAATTAATAATAATTCAGATAATATATTAATATTAAAATTTTTCCTAAATCAAATGACTATTTTATATTTTATTGCAGAAAATACAGATGTAGGCATGTATGTGGGATCCGATTATCTGGGGTAAAGTACAATTAATAGTTACTTACCTTGTCATTGGTAGTTTGCAAAATTGCTTTGGGAACATTTTGATTGTTCACACAAGTACTCTGAAGTTAAAATTAAAATGCTGCTAGAGTTTCTGATTGACAATGTCGATGTGTATTTTTGAGACTAGGCCTTTCAACAATTGTTGAAATTCCCATGGATACCAACTTTTTTGCATTCATATGAAGCAAAATTTGAGCGATATATGGTAAGTGTCTAAATTGGCCCCTTAAAATGAATGTCGTAATTTTACTATATATATAGCTTTAATTTTTACAGCTATAAATGCGACCTTTATTGGTCATTTTCATTTTCATCAAAATGCCGTTATTTTAGAAATATGACATCATAAAAATCACGTTTTCCCGCCATTTTAGCATATTTTGTATAAAACTGCTTATTTTGAAGCAGTTTTTCTTCCAGAAAATATAGCCTAGATCAAGCTTTATATTTTTACCAAAGATGTATCTATCCAATACTGATTAGTGACAGAAAAATTATGTATGTTCTACACTGCGCTCTATGTTTCCCATAAGAAAAAAACACCAAGAAAAGGGCATATTTTTGGCTTTTTTGTTAGATAGCAAAAATAGTATTACTTCTCATGTAATTTACAGCTAGAGAGTGCATATAAATGTGAGAAATATATTCGATATATTTCTAATATAACCTCTTCTTCAAAATAAATATCAATTAAACATATCATAATGTCATTCTAAAATGTTGATTTTAAGGGGGCCAAAATGGGCTCCTATCATATATACTCCTTTGTTCAAAATATTTTACATGAAAGGAAGAAAACATTCAGCTTGACGAGAAGATATATCAATTAACGACGCATTTTCAATTAACAATAGTTAATTTATTTTTATGTCGACACGATATATTCTGGTGAGCTCGAAAAAAAGATACTACATGTTTTGACACATTTATTTGAATCTGCTACTTGAAAAAAACCTTAATGATTTTCTAACAAAGCTTTTTGATAAACGTGATGAATTTAACTTTTCAATCTTCAACTTCCCCTATTTATACAGCAATATACCTTCGTCACCTGCATACGTAGTTTATATCTCTCAGTTGATTTAATACAGAAAAGCATGTTCTACATATGAACAATTTCCTTAAGCGAAGTAAGTTATTGACAAACAAGTTGATGAAACAAGAAAATCAACAGTCTCGTTAAAGTTTTAATTCATTGGATAAAATGTTAGGCCATTATTTACACACTGAGTTGTCCACGGACTTATATCCCGATCATGACAAGGAGCACACGGTGAGTGTGACCAGTCGGCAAGGGAATGCTCTCTCATCTGTGACACCTCTAATGTTTTGGTGGTCAATATTTGCACCGCTCTTATTTGAAATATTGTTTTATGGACTTTTGAACTCGACTATTGGTAGTTATCTCCACATATTTCATTGAAGATGAAAAATTGTCCCTATTTAACATGTGTAAATAGCAAATTTTGAATATTCAATTAGAGAACTTTCGTTTTGAAGAGAACAAGAAATGTATGTCGAATGGGACAAGGACAACAACTCATACTGATTAGCATGATAGACGAACATTAAGATAATAAAATATCAAATTATTAATAGAATCTATCTATATCTCACTTATTATACTCTAAATATATGTTTAAATCACCGTGGCGCTATATTGAAATGTTGCAGTCATTGGTATGAAATAAAATGTGCACAAATCATGAAATATATATTTCTTTTATTTGAATATATCTGGATGCTTCAATGCATCTATAAAGTTGTGTTAATGTTTCATTCTAACTATTCATCTTGTAGACCTGAACAAAGGACATCGTCATCAGATTCTGGTCCCAATACCAATTCAGGTGTGTGACGGTACCCATTGCTGATATATTCATATAAATTTTGTCAATGCATAAATTTTCTCTCTGCATATTCTTTTGAAGTTTTGTGAATATAACCGGTATGTAAATCAAACAATATTATTAGGTATGTATTATGCGTGAAGTGTAATATAAGGAAATAGGTTCTTTTTCTGTGTGCAAAATTATACACAAATTCTCTTTCGTTTTCATGTAATCGCAGGTTTTATTAAAAAATAATTTCTCAACACATAATAATCTTTTTAACTCCAAAACTGCACCAATTATTCAATGATATAAATTCAATATAAACTGCACCTTAGTAGAAAATACAAAATAGTTAAAGTATTTGAAGATAAACACTTGCTGTGGCCTTCAACTCGAAGTTTAGATACTAGTATATAGGTGAGGTATTGTCTATTAACAATCATTATTTCTATTCTTATATCTATACGATATATCCCGGTGACCTTGAAATAAAAGATACCACAAGGTCTCACAAATCTGTTTCATATTTAGATATTTTACTTGAAAGAGACCGTTAATCTAACAAAACTTTTTGATAAACGTGATGACTTTAACTTTTCAATCGTCAACATTAAGATTCAAATACTGAAGTGTCAACGGATTTTTTTTCGTTATCTGTCGATCATGACAAGGAGCACACGGTGGGTGTGACCTTTTGGCAAAGATAAGTACTCTTCCATAGCAATTAATCGCACCTTTTATGTTTCGGAGGCCCATGTTTGTTCTTTTCATGTTTTATGGACATTTGAGCTTGAGTACTGTCCGTTATGTCCAAATATTATACGTTCATGTATAATAGTTGAATCCGATTGGTCGAGAAACAATTGTTAAAAAACACTTTTACCCGCTGCATAATGAAGCTACACCCTCCAGCATAGCAACAGTCCACTTTGCTTGACGACGGGTGATATTCCAAAAAATAGCCACTGTGCAGAATTTATGCGCGCACGGTTCACTGTTATATGTATTTGTATCAAACATTCAGTATAATATAATAAATATTGCATGTAGTTGAGTGTAACATTGAAAATTTTCAACACTTGGATCAGGATCATACTTGAACCCACGATTTACAACATATTTGTCTTCATTACAGGAGAAGAAGATGAATTTAAAGGTTCCGATTATGTCCCATCAACGTAATTAAATTAAATATACTGCATACATATTCTACATACAAACTTCATTTTTTTTAAAAATTTGAACTGGTCATAGATTTCTTATTAAAAAACGCAATCTCAATTCTGCACAAAAAAGTGATTGATAAATATAATAGATACAGATATATTATAAAGATAATGAATTGAAACATTATTTTATTACACACTTAGTAATAAATACAGGTTTTGTGCATATGCGATATGGCTGACGTCACAATAGCTGTATCAGCCCTGCAAGGCTGATATGGATTTGCGGGGCTTATAACCTATATCAGCCCTGCAGGGTTGATACGGCTATTGTGACGTCAATATCACACCCTTATTAAATTAAACCACAAAAACAGTACTTGTGATCATACACAATTTTTTGTGGGTTCATATTCTCTTAATTTTAACTTTTTGAAAATAAGGTTAATCTTAATTTACAAAAACATGTAATAGATTATTTTCAAATTACGGATCAAGTGCATTGAAAATGAAGTAGAAACAAACCCAAATCGTATGAGACAATTGTATCATGTACATGTAACTATGTAAGAAGTCCATGCATGATTATTTACTTACTTTCTTCTCAGCTTAATGCATGCTGTATTCTATTAATAAGTTGTAATAAACATATTAATACATATCCTTTTCAACATCACATCCTGTATCAGCCCTCGAGCAATATCAGCCCTCGGGCCTTCGGCCCTCTGGCTGATGTTGGTGTCTCGGGCTGATACAGGATGTGATATGGAAAAGGGTATGTATTATTCTCTAGTATTTGATATTGTGGACTATGATGTATAAGGATATCAAATGTATCAAAATCTTGTTTTATTTGTTTATATATGTAGCTTCTCTGCTATGATTTCCGAAAATGCTTCACCGAGCAGTCACAGTCATAGTTTAACCACTTCAGGTAAGAACTAAAGGTACTGTGAGCAATGAGCTCACTAAATGATACCCCTGCATTCCATAATGTCCATGTTTTGCTAAATATTGTTTTACAGTAATGTGTAAGAGGAATAACTCGTCCTATCAAATTTTATTCCGAAGCCACAATATGTGACATCATTGGTAAGAATATAATGGCAATGTCCATGTTTTGCTATGGGAAACCTAAAATACGTGTCGAATAAAAAAGTAAAATAGAAGGTCACAATGGCAATATGTAATAAAGATTCTGTAAAAGCTTCATTAAATTTCACTGAGAAGTGTAAGAGGAGTTGCGGATAAGAGATGGGTACCTCAAAGCGTAACAGACGGACGGACATTACGGTTACTATATACCCTAACACTTTTCAAGCGGGAGTATAATAGTTTGATTTTGACATCAGAGAATTGGAGAAATCAACCACGCAGGGATTCATAAGCTTTTTTATTAAATTAATTAAAATGTTTTTGAAATCAAGTATATATTATTCAAGTATTTAATGAAATTTATATGCTAAAAACTTTTTTTATCTGCTTACTGATAAATATTAATACAAAAATAACAGACTGGTTTGAAAGGTAGTTAAAACATTTGGACTTGGTGTATGCAACTAAAAAATGGTGACATTTTAAATGTAAAATAAACATTTTAAAGAAAATTAAGATTAAAAAAAAATTTCTCGTTTCTAGGAGATGAAACACGTCATTATTTCTTTTTTATTATTATAAATTAGGGGGAAAATGACAGTATACGGAGTTCAGTACGATGTTCTTGATATTTTTTAGTATAAAACATTGAATATTTTAAAAAATAATTATGCTTTGCTCCAAACCATAAGGTTCAGATCTAGAAAATATAAATGAATATTTATAAATCAATCTTGTTTATGGAAACGTGTACGTACAAGGACGTCGCTTACATCTGAGGATGACTCTAAAAATTACAATTAAATATATAAACGGAACTGAAAACTCTTATACTATATCACATTTTATTGTCAGCTATCAGAAAGATTCAGATGCACTGGAACTTTTACAATTTTTCTACATATGCTGTAATTCCATGCGTCAGTTTTCTCATTTTCGTTTATTAACTATTTTATTGAGAAACATTTTGGATATTTTGAATATGAAAAAGCTGTTGCAAACGTTGATGTACATCTGTTATAAGTGCGGAACTATAAATCTTTCAAAAGAGGTGGGGGTGAAGGATGTTTCAAAGGTGGGGGGGGGGTGAAGGGAAAAGAGTTATTATAACGTACGTTTTACACATACATGAAGTTAAATAACTCAATAAGATACAGGGTGGAGAATGGTTTTTAAAAATGGGAGGTTGATTAACTTGGGAAAAAGTACTTGCATGTTTCTTATTTATCGAACATATCAGTTTAAATTTTCAAATATGTTAAATAAACGCAAGAAAAAATGCTTGCTTAATAACTATAAATCAATATGACAACTGTTCAAATTTGAGGATGATCTTCAAATAGAGTAATTTGAAGCCCGTAGCACACAGGATCATACTTGAACCCACGATTTACAACATATTTGTCTTCATTACAGGAGAAGAAGATGAATTTAAAGGTTCCGATTATGTCCCGTCAACGTAATTAAATTAAATATACTGCATACATATTCTACATACAAACTTCATTTTTTTTTAATTTGAACTGGTCGTACGTTTAGTTTATTAATTGTTTATTAATGTTAATTATTGTTTTATATATGTAGCTCCTATCCCAACCAATCATAGTCATAGTTTAACCACTTCAGGTAAGAATAATATGATACGGAAATCAGAGATTAGAAAAATAAGCCACGCAGAGATTCAAAAGCTTTTTAAAAAATTAATTAAAATTTATTAGAAATTTAATGTACATTACTCAATTATTTAATGAAAATTATATGCTAGATACTTTCTTTATCTACTTACTGACTAGTATAAATACAAAAAAAAAACAGCTTGACTGGCGGTTAAAATATTTGGACGTAGTGTATTAAATAAAAAAATGATGACATTTTAAATGTAAAATAGATATTTTAAAGAAAATTAACATTTAAAAAAACTTTCCTCGTTTCATTATTTTCTTTATTATAAATTCGGTAAAAGAAACGGAATTGAAGCTTTTCGATGTTCAGAACGGTGTTCTTGATATTTTTTGTATAAAAACATAGAATATTTTGAAAAATAATCATGTTTTGCACAAAACCATAAGGCTCGAATCTAAAAGATATAAATGAATATTTATCAATCAATCTTGTTTGTAGAGACATGTACTAGTACTTTGCATACATCTGAGGATGACTCTAAAAATTACATTTAAATATATAAACGAAACTGAAAACTCTTATACTATATCCACATTTTATTGTCAGCTATCAGATAGATTCAAATGCACTGGAACTTTTCCAATTTTTCTACATATACTGTAATTCCACGGGTCAGTTTTCTCATTTTCTTTCAATTACTATTTCATTGATAAATATTTTGTTTTTTGAATATAAAGAAGCTGTTGCAAACGTTGATGTGCATCTGTTTTCGGCGTAGATCTAGAATTTTTTCAAAGGGGCATAGAAAGATGTTTCAAAGGGGGGGGGGGGGTGTGGAGGGGAAAAGAGTTATTATAACGTACATTGAACACAATAAATCAATAGGATACAGGGTGGAGTATGGTTTTTAAAGGTGGGTGGTTGATCAACCTGGGAAAAAGTACTTGTATATTTCTTATTTATCGAACATATCAGTTTAAAATTTCAAATATGTTAAACAAAAAACCCAAGAAAAATTGCATGCTTAATAACTCTTATCTCAATATGATAACTGTTCAAAATTGGGGATGATCTTCACATAGAGTTATTTGAAGCCCGTACCACACAAGACCTCATAATTGAACCCACGATTTACAATATATTTGTCTTCATTACAGGAGAAGAAGATGAATTTAAAGGTTCCGATTATGTCCCACCAACGTAATTAAATTATATATACAGCATACATATTCTACATACAAACTTAATTCTTTTTAATTTGAACTGGTCATAGAGTTCTTTAAAAAAAACGAATCTCATTTCTGCACAAAAAATGAATGATAAATAAATGAGTTGAAACATTATTGTATTTGATATTGTGGACTATGATGTATAAGGATATCAAATGTATCAAAATCTTGTTTTATATATGTAGCTCATCTGCTAGGATTTCCGAAAATGCTACACCGAGCAATAACAGTCATAGTTTAACCACTTCAGGTAAGATTAATTTGATTTGGACATCCGAGAATTGGAAAAATCAACCACGCAGAAATTCAAAAGTTTTTTTTTTAATTAATTAAAATTTATTTGAAATCAAGAATATGTTATTCAAGTATTTAATGAAATTTATATACTAGAAACTTTTTATCTGCTACTGATAAGTATAAATATAAAATAACAGTTTGACAGGCAGTTAAAACATTTGGACTTAGTGTATGCAACTAAAAAAATGCTGACATTTAAAATGTAAAATAGACATTTTAAAGAAAATTAATATTAAAAAAAAAAATCTTTTCTCGATTCAAGGCTCGAATCTATCAGATATAATTGAATATTTATAAATCAATCTTGTTTGTAGAAATATGTACAAGGACTTCGCTTACATCTGAGGATGATTCTAAAAATTACATTTAAATATATAAACGGAACTGAAAACTCTTATACTATTGTCCTCTATCAGAAAGATTCAAATGCACTGGAACTTTTACAATTTTTTCTACATATGCTGTAATTCCAAGTGTCAGTTTTCTCATTTTCGTTTATTAAATATTTTATTGAGAAACATTTTGGATTTTTTGACTATGAAAATGCTGTTGCAAATTTTGATGTGCATCTGTTATAATTGCGGAACTAGAAATCTTTCAAATGGGAGTGGGGATGAAGGATGTTTCAGGGGGGGGGGGGGTGAAGGGGAAAAGAGTTACTATAACGTACGTTTTACACATACATGAAGTTAAATAACTCAATAGGATGCAGGGTGGGGTTGATTAACTTGGGAAAAAGTACTTGCATATTTCTTATTTATCGAACACGTCAGTTTAAACTTTCAAATATGTTAAATAAAACACAAGAAAAATTGCTTGCTTAATAACTCTAACTCAATATGACAACTGTTTAAAACTGGAGATGATCTTCAAATAGAGTAATTTAAAGCCCGTACCACACAAGATCATAATTGAACCCACGATTTACAACATATTTGTCTTCATTACAGGAGAAGAAGATGAATTAAAAGGTTCCGATTATGTCCCACCAACGTAATTAAATTATATATACCGCATACATATTCTACATACAAACTTAATTTTTTTTAATTTGAACTGGTGATAGAGTTCTTTTTAAAAACAAAATCTTAATTCTGCACAAAAAAATGATTGATAAATATATGAGTTTAAACATTATTGTATCTGATATTGTGGACTATGATGTATAAGGATATCAAATGTATCAAATATTGTTTTATATTAGTAGCTCTTCTGATAGAATTTCCGGAAATGCTGCACAGAGCAATCACAGTCATAGTTTAACCACTTCAGGTAAGAATAATATGATACGGACATCAGAGATTTAGAAAAATAAGCCATATAGAGATTCAAAAACTTTTAAAGAAATTTAATTAAAATTTATTAGAAATTAAATGTACATTATCAAATTTGTTAATGAAAATTATATACTAGGAACATTATTTATCTACTTACTGACAAGTATAAATACAAAATAACAGCTTAACAGGCAGTT